GAGTTGTCTCTTGGGTTGTTGGAAAACAGTGTTTGTTATGACCAGCGTGTTTTCTTGACAAAATTCTACCAGCCTGTGACCTGCTTCATTTTGTACTCCAAGGCCAAACATGCCTATTATTCTGGTTATCTTTTAGCTTCCTGCTTTAGCATTCCAATTCCCCATGATGATAAGGACATCATTTTTGGATGTTCATTCTAGAAGGTGTTGTAGGCCTTCATAGAACCAGCCTCTTCAGCATCAGCGGTTGGGGCATAGACTTGGACTACTGTGATGTTGAATGGTTTGCCTTGGATTTGAACTAAGATCATTCTATCATTTTGGAGATTGTATCCCAGTACTGCTTTTCCTGCTCTTTTATTGATTATGAGGGCTACTCCATTTCTTCTGAGGGATTCTTGCCCGCAGTAGTATACCTGATGGTCATCCAATTTAAATTCATCCATTCCTGTCCATTTTAGTTTGCTGATTCCCAAGATGTCAATGTTCAGTCTTGTCATCTCATGTTTGACCACATCCAGCTTACCTTGATTCATAGATCTTACATTCCAGGTTACTATGTAGGATCAGACTTTCCTTTTACCACCAGATACATCCACAACTGAGTGTCCTTTCGGCTTTGACCCAGTTGCTTAATTCTTTCTGGCGCTACTAGTACCAGCTCTCTGCTCTTCCCCAGTAGCACATTGGACACCTTCCAACCTGAGAGACTCATCTTCTGGCATCATATCTCTTTGCCTTTTGCCCTGGACAGTAGTCCATGGGGTTTTCATGGCAAAGATACTGGAGTGGGTTGCCATTCCCTTCTCCAGTGGTTCACCTTTTGTCAGAGCTCTCTGCTATGACCTGTTTGTCTTGGGTGCCCCTGCACAGCATAGCTCATACCTTCATTGTGCAACACCAGCCCCTTTGCTACAGCAATGCACTGATCCATGAAGGGGAGGGATATGATACACATTTGCAAACAGACTCCAGCATACTCCCATATGACAGAATCCCGGAATCTCAGTTTGCGAAGAGGAAATAAAACATGGGTTCGTGGGAAAGATCAAGCGTCCAGACCATCTTGGCTTTATTGCATTACCCAGGTTCCTCGCGGTACACTCACAATAATGCATTACCGGGCAGGCAGAGGTGAACTCTGCTGCAAAGCTTCAATACATTACAGAGCATTTATAGGTACACAGGTACAGGGCAATTGATGACAGAATGCAGACATTACAATAAGTTTCTGAGGTCATCACATACAGAACAGATAAAGGAATTGTCAATCATACAGAGACAATGAGATTACAATATTTCTAATTGCAGTGTATTGACACTTTAGTTGAGTAACTTGAACCCATCTCCAGGTCTGCTTAGACATGTAAATTCAAGCTACTGAGAAACTATGCATGAACTCATAAGCTTATCTAGACTCTAGACATTTTGAATGACCAGGGCACATGAAGCCCTCTGGGCTAGGAAGATACTTCCTGGTAAACTGAATTCCAATGCCATTTTAAACAGTGACTTAGCTTGGTTTTGAGGAGGAGTACAGGATTTGATCCCTTATGCAAAAGCACACAGAAGTACTGCTTTTCAGACAGGATTTATCCAAATTTTCTGAACACATACAAAGGAAGCTTCATGAGAAGGAAACAGTGAAAGTAGTTTTGCCCTTCCCACTACATAGAGAACAAGGAAAACAAACAGAAAAATTATGCAGCTCAGTGTATATCTCTCTTAAGCATAGCCTCACCTGTCCTCTTACCAATAAACCTAGCATAAACTGTTCAAGGTAGTAAGGGAATGGAGTGAGAAGTTAGTGTGCTCTGTGGTATGCTGGTAGAGTTCTGTCATTGCAGGGACTGAGAAAAGGTCAGTCCAGCAGGAGCTGGACCAGTTTCCAAAACAGTTTGGTGGAGGGGTTCAATTTTATCACTGAAGTTGGTACTGCTGTTGTATTGCATTAGAGGGGGAGGGAAGCAAGATAAGTGTTTTTGTTATTACTGTTGAACATCTGTGTTGACTGTGTACATGGCCCAGAAAAAGCTATTTTTGGGGTGTCTTAAAAGTACAGCAAATAAATCATGGGGCCACATTTCTCATTTTGTTCTATCTTACCACTGTGGTAGAATTTAATATTATTATATGTGTAGAGTTCAAAGCACTTGTTTGTTTATGCACTTGTCCTGCTCCTTAGGCTTTAATCCTATATGCAGTTTCCTGAGAGCAAATCTCTTTAAACTCAGTGGGGTGTTTGTTTAAGAAACATGTATACATTGTACTGTAAGGCACAACAGTAATAAAACGTGTTTGTCCAGACTCAATTATTTTGTCAAGGGAGAGTAAGAAATGGGTAAACCAAACAAATTGAACAACTAGGGGTAGGGGAATTCTAATTACAGTTCTGACATCTGGAGTATGGAGGGAGAATTCTATATTATCTCTTAAGATAATTCCTTTCTACAAAAAAGAAAAGAGAAGTAGGTAAACCAAGATGGCCAAACTTTCTTTATTGAAGACCATTTAGTTTTGTGAGGTTTGATGTGTACAGTTTCTGAAAGTTGGATACTACAACTTGCCCTTTTATTTTAAAATCAATACAGCTGTTTAGCAGATGCATTGCTAATATTGAAAAAATTGCTATCTCTGTGATAACTTAAAAAGCAAGACATAGTTGTTCTTGATTAATGATACAGCTGTATCAGTGTTCATGGCAGTTTACAGCATATGCAAGGAGTGGTCCCCGTCCAGAGGGGCTTACAATCATTTTGTTGTATTTGAATTTTGGAATATAAAGAAGAGTATATTCCTTAGCATGAGTGCTGGAGAGGCTTTTTCTTAGGGGGTTCCTGCCATGTTAAGCAAGTTTGTGATGATTTCACATGGGTCTGTCAACTAATTGATGACTACAGCCTCAGTTGGTGATTTGCTTGTGTGAATGAGCCATCAAAACCCCACACATACAGTAAAGCATTTCATTCTGTGGAATCATCTCACATGTAGGTTTCTGAGCATGAAAGGTGGATGAGTAAAAACATGTTGAGAAGTCGATGTCTATGTGAACTTGTCTTTTATCTTGAAAATGATTTATGCTGTTGAAATAAATATTGTGCACCAATATGCAGATGGCACTCAGCTCTGCCTCTTCCAAGTGAAGCCCTGCCTCCAAATCCAGGTGAAGCAGTGATGGTTCTGAACCAATGCTGGGCTTGGTAATGGACTAGATGAGGACCAATAAACTGAGACTCAATCCAGACAAGATGGAGGTACTGTTGGTTGGAGGTTCATCTGTACAGATGGGAAATATGCAACCTGTCCTGGATGGCAAAGGACATGGTTTCTAGTTTGGGGTGCTCCTAGATTCCGAATTTTCACAGGGCTCACCTGCAGCCTTGGTGACTAAGAGCACCTTTTATCAGTTCAGGCTGATTACAGCCCTATCTTGACAGGCAGAGCCTAGCAACAGTGAATCATGCTCTGGTAACCTCTCTTGTAACTGCTATTGAAAATGGTCCAGAGATTCTAACTGGTGTAAAATGGAGCAGCCAGACCACTAATGGGGACTGGCTGGCATGAACGTATCACACCAGTCCTCTGTCAATTACATTGGTTACTGTTTGAAGTCCAGGTCTTATTCAAAGTGCTAACATTTAAAGCCCTAAACAGTTTGGGCCCGGTCAGGGCTTTTTTTTGTCATAGAACGCACCGGCACCTTTTTTTCAATGGATTTTACAAGTGATTTTGATCTTTGAACGGAGTAGCAGATCAGCAGCAAACATCATTAACATAGTGCCTGCAGGCTATTGTGTCTGCTATCTGCTATCTGATAGTGAGAGATAGCTGCTTGGGAGGCTGCTTGCTTGGGATTGGTATGTGTGCTTACTGCCAGCGGGGAGTGAGTTCCAGCACCATTTTTTTAACAAGGAATGCCAACCTGAACCCTGAAATCATCAGTGCAGATCCTTCTTAGAGAGCCTTCTCCAAAGGAAGCAAGAAGGGTGACTACCAGGGGAGGGGCCCTTTCACTTCCAATGCCCCATCTGTGGAATCAGCTCCTCAAAGCTGTACCTGGTTCTTTGCCAGGTGAAAACCTTTTTTTATGGTACACCTGAGATTGTTTTAGCTGTGGATTATTGTATTAATTGTACTGTGATTTTATCATGTGTTTTATATTAATTATTGTAATTTTGATTTGTAAACCACCCATGGAGGCTTTGGACTGATGGGTAGGATAAAAGATAAGTAATCATATTTATATGCTGATAAATATTTTTAAAATTCCTAATTTTGAATCAATTCTTTTATCAGCTGTTAACCTAGGTATTTGGGAGAAGGAACCATTTAAGAAGAAAGTCTCCTTTTAGCATTGTACTTCCAACATCAGCAATTGCTCCAGTTAAAACACACAAAATGAGGCAACTCCTTAATACTTTTTGGGGGAGTGGTAAAATGTCTGATCCTCTGTGACGTCGAGTGACAGAAAACCTTTTCGGGGAAAACTACAGGCATTCAACGAACCAGAACTTTGTTTTGATACCATCTTAACTGTCACTGCTAAGTGAGGAATGCCTGCGTCGGATAGCAGTGGAACAGTTTCGCCAGCAGCTGATGATAACTTGTGCAGGGTAGGAACGATCTTCTGTATTCACCCGCCATCTGTCAGCTGAAAGGCTTTCGCCTGGAGAAAAATACCAAAGATACTTTCAATACGCTTCTCTGAAGTTGTCTCTTTTTTGTGTGTGTGCGCCTTGTTCGTTTCTCATCATGAGACCCGGAAGTTTGTGTATGTGTGTTTCCCTTTGTATCTTTGGTAATTGGTGTGTGTATGGGGTTTTTTTTTATTTCTATCACATGGCAGTATGTGAGAGATATAATAAAAACAGAAAAATGGCGACAGTCACGTTGTGGCGAGTCTATGCTGCGTCATAAGATAATCTTCATGCAAAGATCGCTAAGAACAAAGAAAAAAAAAGGGAAAGGGGGTAGGAAACGCGGCTCGAAAGGTGGGTGGGCAGAAGGCAGTGGCTTGAGGGGGGGGGACGAGCGGTTGTATGTTTATTGCAGGGCATTGCGATCTGGCATCCCAACTCCCGAGCCGTCGGCTACCGATTCACCTTTAGACAGTCCTGGAAAACCCAGCTAGAGGTTGGTGAATTTTTACGCGGCGGGGAATTGTTTTTCCAGTGTGAGATGACTCAGGGAGGGGCGGCGGAAGGCGATTGGGGGGATTTTGATTCCTTCCCTCCTACTCTCCCTCCCCCCGTTTATTTTTCTTTAGTCAACGCGATCACCCGTGGTGGTGGCTGCGCGCAGCTGGACAGGGTGCGTTTTGTTTACACGCGTCCTCCCTAACAGCTGGCGATTCCGATCTAACCATTACGCGCTCCGACCGCAGGCGCACTTTCGGGATGGGAGCTCGCGTTGTGTTTTGTTTCTTTTCTCACATTGGGGCTGGAAAGACTAGTTGAGATCCGGGGAAGGGACGGTTTAGAAGAGCAGGGTCCCGTCCCGTCGTTGCCCGATTCCTTTTGCCGAATGGATTGTTTATAACGGGAGGGAGATTTTTCTCGAGGAGGGAAATCTGCTTCTGCTTAGTGACCGGGAGGGGGGCGTAGGGAAGGGGGTGTCCGGGCGGGGGTGCGGGAGAAGAGAGGCTTCTGCTCCGGAGGGCGTGTGCGCCTGTATGGCTTTTAAAATGTTGCGCACTATTATTTTCCTTAAGAATCTTGGCGCTGCTCCCTTCAGACAAGCGATTGTAAATATAGCCTGGATGTTGTTTACATGAAACATCCAGAGGGAGGAGCGTAGGAAGGAGGAGGAAGAGGAAGAGCAAGGAGCCTGCGAGGGTGGCTGGGGTAAGTATCCGAAAAGGAAGAACTAGAGCTGGGGTTGGAGGCTCGGGCAAGCCGTGACTCGGGGTGTGTGGTTGTCAGCGGGAGGATTGCTCCCGAAAGAGTGCCTGCCCGGCCGTTGCCTGGCAGATATTCCTACCCGGGGCTTCCCTGCTGCTGGGACTTGCCTGGCGTGCCTACCTCGCTAGCCAGAGGCGGGACGATAGGCAGGCAGACGAGCTGGTTTCTTTGGCCTGTTACTTGTACTACAAACGGATCTTGCCATCTTTCATTTTAGCAGCCCGCCAGAACTATTGTTCTTTTCTATTTGGTAGGGTAGGGATGGACTCCAGAACCATCATCCTGCCATAATATAGCCACACCAAGCAGAAGATACTGTTGTAGAGCAGGAAACTGGCAGTTATTCAATGTACTGTATGTGTGTGTTTTGCTGTACCTAGCACATATTTTTGCTTTTGACACCAAGAAACTTTGAACCCTTAGGATGGGCCATCTTTCCAATAATGGGGAGGGATGCCAGCTGTCAGCCCAGAGAGCATGCCTGCCCCTTCAAAGTGAGAGAAGGTGCCACTTTGAAGCTCCTGCATTAACCCCTTCGCTCACATTTCTCACCCAACCAGCACAGGGTATAAAGGTTCCTTTGTTAAACCAGTCAGATCAGGATTTTTAAAAAAATACATTTATGCCCCATCTCATTTCCCCTTACAGGGAACCCAAGGTGGTTCACATAATCTTTCTATTCTTTTCAATTTTATCCTGAAACAAACCCATGAGACAAGACTGACCCAAAGTCATACAGTGAGCTTCATAGCCACACAGATTTCCTAAGCTGCTATCCAACACTAATCACTAGACCACATTGGCTTTTCAGATGTATGCCAAAACACTAGAAGGGACAGCTCATTTGATCCCTAACTGTAACCTATGCTAGCTAGTCTTGATAGGAACTTTAAGCCATTTGGAGGGGCACAGGGTGTCCATAAATGAATATTGTTTACTGTGCTGGCCCTGTTTTATTACACTGGCCCTTTGAGAGTTGCTTACCTTTTTTCAGACTGATCCTAGGCATGTTAAGTCACATATAAGTCACACTGAATTAATTGGGCTTACCTTTGATTAAACATGTAGGGTTGCAGCCTTAACCCCAGACTTGTTTTCAAGTCTTGCTTAAGTTTGCTCTAAGACAATACTGCCTTTGAGCATGGACAGAGTGGACTGAATGGCTATCATCAGCTCCCACATGGAAGCCCTATTTCTAGACCAAAGTCCATGGCACCACCTATTCTAGAAATAAAATACTGAGGCAGATCAGGCCTGGGACATTCTGAAAGTGGGGTTCCAGGAATAAGAAATTTATGCAAAGTTTTATTAATTTGTTTATTTTTAAAGATGCCAGTTATTATAAATGAACAAGGCTATTTGGTAGCTCCAAAGATAGCTGAAGACTAGGCAGTCATTCCCACATGATCCAGTGGTCCTTTCCCCTCTTCCCTGTTTCTCTGATGCAATCTGTTGCTGAGCATTCATGTATTAACTGGCTGCTGACCAGCACCACTTCAAGGTCTTCCTCATCTGTACTACCCATTCTATGTGATTTTTAGCTACATGTGTAGTTGATTCCTAGTTCTTTGTAGGGAGAACAGGATCCTTTACATCTGTCTAGCAAGCTGAAAGTTTGCCTAGGCCATGGTGATACAGCCCCAGCTTGGATGGTCACCTACTAGGTTATAATTTAACAAAATATAAGGGTGTTTGCTTCCTCTGGCCAATAAGTGACAAAGGTCTAGGTCTGTGGCCTTGATTCCATCATTGCAGAATCTGTGAACCTAACAGATCTTTTCCATAAGTACAGTCGGTTTGTTTTTCTCCTTTATTTTTCAGCACTGGGGTTTAGAAAAGAATTAATGTTATACTTATTTGTGTTAAGATGTGCCCCTGCTCCATGTATTATCTTTGGGTTTGTTCCCCCTGCCTTTTACTTCTGTCTATAGGGGACCAACATAGCTATGGTGTACTAGTAATACTTGGGAGATTTGTCTATTGAATTGTTCATTTGTTTGGTTTTTGACAAAATAAGTTAATATTTCAGGTGAATAAGGATCTTCTTTTCATACATGGAGTTCTTTAGACAATATATGTCTAAAGCAAGGTGTGGCTGAAGGGAAAAAGAAAAGCATTTTTAACAATCTGCCAGCCTACAAAGAACATAGAAAGCCTTTTCCAGATAGATAGCATAACTGAATTGTTCTCAATAACGTCTGTATGATTTGGTGTAATATCAGTTTTTTATATGTTGATGCTGCCTTATTTCTGAGTAAATATGCATATGTTTGGACTATGTGATATTGTATAAATATGCACAACTTGGTTGCATTTTTCAGCAATATTACAACCATCATCTGGCGAGAGAGAAAGAGGAAAGCAAGCAAGCAAGCAAGCAAGCCAGAAAGGTAGATCTAGAAAAATGGAGCTACACAGACATAAAAAGGAATTTGGGGCCACTGTTAATTTTTAATTTAACTTAAAACGTTGAATGTTGGCATTAAAGATAGATTCTGGGTTCAAACAAATTGAAGGTCTGGGCTTTAAAATATTCAAAAGAACTCAGAAAACACAGAGCAGAAGTCTGGCTCTTTAACCTTATGAAGAAAATGTGTTGGGTTTAATGGCACTTATTGAATGTCTGTTCTCTGAACTATGGTGTTGCTGTGATTAAATCTTCATTTTTCTTCTATTTATCAGTTTTGAGGCTATAGATTTTTTTTTATTTCATCATACCCGTAGCTCTTTGAGTTCTGCATTTATATCGCATACTGTGGGAACAGACTACTGGGAATCCTCCTACTCAAACCTCATTGAAATGAGCTACTAATTTCAGTTGCACACAAGTTCCTAGTATTTAATACTTTTAAATCAAGATGACAGTTGTTTCTCATCATGTTTGTCATGCACCTCTTTCTTATAAGTGCAACAACTGGTTACTGCAAAGACTGAACAAGGAGACACTGCCATGGTCAAATGTGGATCTACAAACCTGCTGAAAATCAATGCATAAATTTTGTAGCAGCTTAGGAGCGCTCCTTGACCCAGAGCTGTCCCTGGAGACCCAGGTGGTGGTGAGCAGCGCCTTCCTCCAGCTTCGGCTGGTCCATCAGCTACATCCTTACCTGGACGAGCACTGCCTAGCAACGGTGATACATGCTCTGGTAACTTCCCGGTTGGATTACTGTAACACACTCTACGTGGGGCTGCCTTTGAAAACAGTCCAGATACTTCAATTGGTACAAAATAGAGTTGCCAGGCTGCTGACAGGGGCTGGTCGTTATTCTCATATAACACCAGTCCTCTATCAGCTACACTGGCTCCCAATTGAAGTCAGGGCCCAATTCAAGGTGCTGGTATTAACCTATAAAGCCCTAAACGGCTTGGGACCAGGATTCCTGAAGGAACATCTCCTTCCTTATATGCCCTCATGCCCCTTAAAATCTGCAGGAGAGGCCCTGCTCCAGGAACCCTCCCTGAAGGGGTAAAGATGTCTACTTGGAGTAGGGCCTTCTCTGCGGTGACACCCAGACTGGAATCCGCTCCCCAGAGAGGTTTATCTGGCACCAAGCCTATATTCTTCTTGGCACCAGGTGAAAACCTTTTTATTTGAATGTTATTTTAAGAATTAGGGATTTTAGAAGTTAACAGTCACTTTTTAAAAATCATAATTATTTATATTATCTTTCTCTTTGAATGTGTTTTTAACTTTGATTGTATTTTCATTACTATTGCTTGTATTTACTATTATTTTTTATTGTCTATTGTGTTATTGTTTTTATTATTGTTGTTTGTAAGCTGTCCTGAGACGCTGCCATGAAGGATGGGATAGAAATGTTTTAAATAAATACCAAGCTGAGCTTGAAAATGCATGTAGTTTACGCAATGAGGAAAATATATACTAGTACATTATGCATCCAAAAGTTATGTGAGGCCCCATAGCTCAGGAGTGGATAGAAACCAGATCGCCAGATGCTTTGGAATTCAGCTTCCTGCATTCCTGACCATTGACCAACCTGACAGTAGCTTCTGAAAGTTGAAGTCCAAAATATCTGGAGATCTACATTCTGCCTATCTATACCATAGTTCATTGGAGCAACAAATGCTCTACATACACGTGTTTTGCTAAACAATGTGCCAAACAATTCAGAACAAATCAAACAAATCACATTTGTCACAAAATAGTAACTGGCATATATACCTTCTGCATTCACCCATTTATTTGTTCATAGTAATGATGTAGAACCAATCATTCAAGAGAACGTATTTCTAAGAATAAATCACATGTGGTCCATAACCTGAAAGGGATGGAGGAAGGGCCCTTCTACAGGACACAGGGCTGGGAAAGACTTCTGCCTGAAATGTGAGAGTTAGTCAGAGAAGGAAGCACTCAGTTAAATGGGCTAAAAGTGTGACTAGGTATGGGAGTTCCTTGTGTTTTATATTGTTTAAGCTTCAGAAATAGTAGAAATGTGGAAAATAGAATTGCATAATGCTTCATTGAGATATAACACTAAGCTATGGAAGAACCACAAACTCTTGAGCACCCCACACATGTTCTCTCCTTTTCTAGTGCAGCTGCAAGGCAATCCAAATCATTCACCTCAGTTTTTAACCAACTGCTTAATGTTAGACATAATGCTAAGCTGTGGTTAACTGAAAATGGAAGTGAAAGCTACTGATGTCCTTGTGGCCACTCTGGAGGAGGAGAGGACAGGACAGCATGAGCCTGAGGATCTTTGATGCCATGCTAAGCTGTAGTATAGCACAGTGCTTTGCAATGTAAGGCATGTACATGGCATGTGCCCCCTGCCACCCTCTGGTATGTCCCCCAGTGTGCCCCCTCTGCAGGTACCCAAAAATAAAAATGACTCCAAAATTGCCACTTTTTCACTACACAAACTGCTAAATGGGCTAACTTTGACCTTTAGACCACTCCATAGCCACTACAGAGCACTATATGAGTCAAATTTAGTGTAAAATTGTGCTAAATATGACCTGGCTAGCACTGTAGTACCAAGCAGCCATTTTTTGAAAAAACATTTGGGGGTTGCCTTATGGCACTCTACAGAAAGCAGCCCATGTGGGAAGGGTCCTGTGGCATAAAAAGGGCTCCTGGGCCCACTGAGGTTGCCTAGCCTAACATTACTGAAGTTGAAAAATAAAAAAAAAAACTTTTATCACATTTGTAAGAATGCATGAAGCTCTTAGACCACTTGTTCATCTGAGTAGTATCTGCATTGATTGGCAGCGGCTTTCTGGAATTTTGGGCAATTTCCACGAGATAGGGCCTGAAGCCTTGTGCCTGTAGAACTGGTGCTCTAGTACTGAATTATGGCCCAGAACTACAATACTTCCTGCAGAGAGCTCAGGAAGAGCTCACCAACCAGTAGTGAGCCTTCCCTTTTTGTGAAAGGTATTGGAGCAAGTGGTGGCCAGACAGCTCCAGGCACTCTCAGAGGAAGCAGATAATCTGGATCCATTTCAAGCAGGTTTCAGCCCAGGGTTTGGGATGAAGTCTGCCTTGGTTGCTCCATATGATGACCTGTGTTAGGGGAGGGATGAAGGGGGGCAACCCTGTTGATACTTCTAGACTTCTCAGTGGCTTTTGGCACCATTGATCATGCTGTCCTTCTGGACTAGTTGGCTGAGTAAGGAGTTGGAGGCACTTCCTTGCACTGGGTCTGATCCTTCCTGTCTGAGCATGTTCAGAAGGTGGTGCTGAGAGAGTTGCTCTACCCAATGACATTTACACTATGGAGTTCTGCCGGGCTCTATACTATCTCCCATGCTTTTCAACATCTGCATGAAACCACTAGGAGAGGTCATCTGAAGGTTTGGGCTGAGATGTGAGCAATATGCTGACAATACTCAGGTATACCTCTCACATTGAATCCAGATGAGGCAATCTCCATGCTGAACTGGTGTCTGAGTTCAGTAATGGACTGGATGAGGATCAATAAACTGAAACTCAGTCCAGGCAAGACAGAAGTGCTGTCAGTTGATGATCTGTCCGATGGATTAGATGATCATTGCCCTGTCTTTGATGGGCTCGCACTTCCGCTAAAGGAAAAGATCTACAGCTTGGGAGTGCTCCTGGACCCAAATCTTTCATTGGAGTCTCAGGTGGTGGCCAGGAGTACCTTTTTCAGTTGCAACAAATATGACAACTACGGCCGTATGTGTATAGAGAGAGCCTGACCACAGTTACTTGTGCATTGGTAACATCCTGACTAGATTACTGTAATGCGTTCTATATAGGACTGCTTTTGAAGGCAGTCTGGAGACTTCAACTGGTCCAAAATAGGGCTGCACATCTGGTGACAGATACCAGTTGCATGCCCATATAGCACCTATTCTGTAGGTCCAATTTAAAGTGCTTGTTTTAGCATATAAAGCCCTAAATGGCTTGGGATCTGGTTATTTGAAGGACTGCCTTTTCCCATATAATCCCACTGCCCATTAAGATCTGGAAATGAAGTCCTGAAAGAACCATCTCTAAAAGAAGTAAAAGGGATGACAATTAGATGAAGGACCTTTTTGGTTTCTGCCCCGCACCTTTGGAATGGGCTTCCTAGAGAGGGCTGCCTGGCACCGTTTTGGCACCAGACAAAAAACTACCCTCTTTCACAGGCGTTTCACCAATTGATTGTAAGAGCTTTACTACCTGCAGTTTTTCCCTCCTCTCCCCCCGCCCCAATGGTAGCCTGAATTGTATTGTGTTTGCCACTTAGCCCTGTTGGGCTATTCAGCAGCCTATAAATTTATTTATTATAAAGTAAACACAACTTATTATGTTCTAATTGGTTTTTAATGTGTTTTACTGTCGGTATGCTTTACATTGTAAACTGCCTAGGAAGGCCTCGGCAATTATAGATGGCCTATAAATATATGTAAATAAATAAAAAAATTGAAAATAAATAAATAAGTGGACACACAAACCATGATGCTGTGAGTTAGCAGCACTGGAAGTTGGGGAGACTGGCTGAGCAAATTTTGCACCGCAGTCTCCCCAGAACAAGTGTTACCACCTAATGGAGATTTTTGCCGTTTTTGAACTAAAACTACATAACAATACTAGTAACAAACAATTATATAATGATTTTCATTGGTAAGTTCACGACCTGGTTCAGGTATCCTGACAGCCTGCTATGGGTTGCTTAATTGTCAGGGCAGTGCAGTGCATGTCAGCTGCTGTTATGAGTATACAAGGTTCAAGCAGGGATTATCATGACTTTTGGCAGGATATTTTTTTGGGGGGGTCAAACTAGCCTTATGTCACCCACAGTGAGGGTTGCATCATGAGAACTGACCCACTCTCTTTTAAAGTATTTTCAGCAATTGTAGATCAGCATTCATAAACTTTATCTGTTTTTCACTTCCAATAGAGATGTTTTATGAATATTAATATACCTTAAAAGAATCCATTCCTTTATGAAATATGGTCTAGCTGTCTTCTATAACATAGCCCAGCTATGTCCTCACAATTCTAGTATTGCTTTGTCTAGAACATGGTGCTGATGATTATGTCCTCAGTGTTCATAAACTTCTGAACTTGGAGACTTACAAATATGCACTGTAGAGTGGGAGGAACAACAGAGGCACTTTCCACCTCTCCTCCCTGTGCCTATTGCTCTGCCTTTCTTCTGAACTGCTGTTTTTGGCTGTTTTGTTGCAGCACTACAGAGGGAAACCAGTGAATATCATCTTCTGGGGGAGGGCAGCCTTCACCCCTCCTTGTGCCTTTCACCCCTTCTACAAGGGTGGTGCTTTCCTGACCTTGATGAGGCAGCCAGCCATTTATTCCATACCAACTGCAAGGTGCTGAGGGTGGGTTTTTATTTATTTATTTTATTTATTAAAACATGGGTTGCAACATAGTTCCCCAACACTGAGGTTAGAGCTCTTTCTCCACCCTTACATATGGGAATTCAAATTTTCCTGTTTGTCTAGAACCTGCCTAGGGGGCATAGGTTTGGTCTCCCTGCCTCTTTACAGCAAGTAGTTAATATTTTTGCATTGTTTTATACAGTAAGGTGCAATCTGATTTTTGTTTTAAAAGAAAAACAAGACAGGCAACAATGTTTTAATTCCCCAATTAAAAGGTATTAAGAGGCAACTTCTACATAAGACAATCTTAGCTTCTCTGTAGCTGAACTGTTAATATTCCAGAATATGGAATTTACCAGTAAAGTGTCTTTAAATTTAGACACTTTACATAGGTTATGCACATACTAGTTACTGCAAAGATGAAGCAGGGTGGGGAGGAAGGTGAAATCAATGGGCAAGCTCAATTTGATTTCAGGAAGAATCACTATTTCTTCCATTGCAGAACTTGATTTGCAGAGTATTGTGTTGTGATTAATACCTTTCAGTGGACCCATTCAAAATGGTCTCTCTCTATTTTTAATGGCTGTATTTTCCTTTTCCCTCACTTTAGGTCTCATGTAAGAATGCCTCTTCTTTCCCACACAACAGGTTAAATGCTTCCATCTTCTGATATAATCCTAAGCAGCTGGGAGAAAGGATACATAGATAACAACTGCAGCATGATTGAGGAGGTACCCTGCAGAGTGTGAACATAAATTCCATTGCTGACAAAAAAAGTGTTACAAAAGTAAAGGGTAAGTGAAGGCTTAAGGAATCAGTGAGACCTTACCACTACCAGCTTTTTGCCAAGGAATGGAAGAAAAACCTTTCTTCTGCCCCTTACCTGCTTCTTGCTTTACGGTTCATCGTACGTTGTAGAGATAACATAAAATGATTTCCTATTTTTGACCATAGATACATCCTAGACTCTCTAGTGACAAATCTTGCAAATGATTTTTTCTCTCCATTTTTTCATGTTAAGGCTTCAGATCAGAACCTGCTGATATTCAGTGCATGTCTAAGCTTGTGCATGCAATTCATATACTAGGGCCTATTGGACATGTGCTTGTTGCACACTCTGCAGTTGATCAGTATAGGTATCAAAAATGCATACACTTTGCAATCTCAAAGACAAAATGCTATGGCAATGAAACAAACTGATGGTATTACCTGATGGAACTGGTGATAAGCGTTATAATGCATCATATCTCACACTTTCAGGTGTTCAGTGCAGAGGTATCTCTCTTGTAGTTTTGTTGATGCTGGTCAGCATACAGAGGAGTGATTCACACATGTAAGACTGTTTCCGTGCACAGATTGTCCTCAGTGAATCAGTGCTTTTCTAAATACTAGTATGGCTATCACTCCCACATGTGTAAAAATCCCTTAAAGCAGATATCTGAATTTCAGATAACTGGAATGATTGTGCAAATATATGACACTGCATGGATTGTTTCAAATTTAGCTAATTATTTACCATCAATGCCTCCTCTCCCAACAGGTAATTATTGTCTGAACTGAATGCAGCACCCATCTATTCCTTGGTGAGGAGGAGTGAGGGGAACAGCTGTTTATATAGGAGTCTCTAACTGGGAGTTACAATATTACATGACTATCTCCACTTATATTAACATTTGGGGGGGGTCATCAGAAAAATTGGGTACATAGGGTTTGTCAAACCAGGTCCCAAGACTCAATAATTGAATGCATGGAGCTTCAGATTCTGCTCTGTAAATGATTCTTGCTTCTTATGTAACATTTGTTTGTGGCTTGTTTTTAAAATGTTAAAAGTATTTTTCCAAGAAGTTTTTGTCTCATTATTGCCCATGTGCATGTGTGTTTTTAAAAAAGCAAGCTCGGTATATGCAAAAACGCAGTAGATGATTTCCTGTGTACTACTTAATAACTTCTGTGATTTCAGTATCGAATGTACAAAATTCACTGCTTTTTACAGAATTAATTTTCAACCTGAGATACAGTTTTTATTTATATATCTATTTATTTATTTGCAGCACAGTCCATTCACTTTCTAGAGGTACTAATTTAGCATTTTATATTCTGGATCTAAATGTCAAAGAACATTGTAGCCTGAGGGTACAATCTGCATCTTACTTGAAGTTACTGGCTAAGCAGCCATTGATCTGAGTGGTTGGGTTGCATCATAAATCACTTATATAAGCAGCCTTATTATGTAATTCTTCTTTAGGTTTTGTCTTAATCTCAAAAATGTCATCATTTATCTGCAGGTTATCTTTCTAGTTCTGCTTGTGTTTCACTAATTATTAAATTGCTTTCTTCAGTGGAGACAGGACTACGTCTGATTTCCGCGTAAGGTGTATTTGATCATGGTTCTACTCCAGCCCAGAAGAGGACTATTTAGCCCCTAGGCTTGATGTTCTGCACTCTGGGCTAGATGTTATGCATTGCACCTCCTGAGATGACCAGAGGACTGGGGCACACTTTTGATTTGCAAGTGGAGCAAGCTAGAGTAGAAAGAATTTAAAAATCCAAACTAGTGCACTGTATCTAGTTTGCAGGTGCCAAGTAAATTTTTCTGCTCCAGGTGACTGGAAGAACTGACTTAAAATAAACTGATACCAGAGGCAGAGAATCCAGTCAGAATGCCTCTTCATAAGAAATTATTGCTTACTTATTTGTTTTATACAGAGCTATAACTATACACACTGCTTTACTAAGAAATATAAGTAAAGTCCTTGCCCCTGCAAGTATACAACCTAAATTTAGAAAAATGAATAGAGACCCCATAGATGGAAGGAGGGAAGTGATGACAGAGATGGGCAGCACGGAGTAAACATAAACAAATATAAATCATGTATATTTATTTGTGTGTGTAAGGATATAATGATATTGACAATTTGGTGCCCAAAATATATCTTGCTGTGCTTAATTGGGTCTGAACTGCCTTTATCATTGTTTTGCTCCCAAATGAGAATTATCAGAGTTATAAGGCTCAGTTGAGCTAAATGTTCATCTGACCATAAGAACATTCTGAAATATTTGTGATCTTACAAAAATCTTACACCTCACCTGTGTCATCATGGTAACAACGGGAAAACATCAGTAGCATTTTCTTTTTAATGATACATAAGCATTCAAAGCATAGTTATTTGTTGTGTCCTCCAGTTGAAATGAGCACAATAGCCTAACTGGGGGTGGCCAGTCCTTCGACATTACGGGTCATGTATTTTTATTTACATGAGAAGATTGCAGTAATACTCTAGAGGATTGCAATAATACTCTTATACTCACACCAGCTGTTAATTTCTGGACCAGTGATTGAAATGAAAGTGTCCTTTCATGTATTTCTGTACTCTGAAGCAACTTGTAATTGGAGCAAAGTGTAAGTTGCCTGCTGCTGTCCCTTCTCTGGCCAATATATGGGACTAGACTGGTCTTTCCCTTCCCCTTCCCCTTGATGTTTTGTGTGACTAGCTTCCAGTAGCCCTTGGTGCCAATGATGGAAGACAGCATGTATTTTCTTTTGTTTTGCAGTTTCAGGGCTATGCATCTTTTTCATATGGGAATTTCAGCAGGGGCATTTTATCAGGATGCTTTAGGGCAGGAATTGGCAACTTGTGGTCCTCCAGATCTTTTGGCCTAAAAAAGATACCTAGTGTGATACCTAGTTACCTAGTGCTGATTGGAGTTGTATACCAAAACTTTGGTGGATCATGAGCTGCATACCCTGGATTGGAATAAAATGCAGATGCCCAATCTTGACAGCTTTACAGAAGTAAATGATGTAATGGTGAAAATACAATTATGTCTGCTTTACACTTTTACAATAGAAAGCACACCTCTCGCACTATTTTCTGTTTTATCAACTAAAGATTTGGGTTTGTGAGATGGGATGAATCCAAAGACTGCTTAGTATTTAACATCTCTGTAGCACCTTTTGAATGTTCAAAGCACACTACATACTTAGGTCCATGGCAAGGATGACTGAGCTATCATGTAGATCAGTATTCTTACATCTGTGACATGAGAGTAATAAAAAGGGAGGAAGCTGAGAGACAGCAGCTTTCCTAAGGCCACCTATTGAATTAAAGGGCCCTAAGGAGCACAGTCCTTGGCATGTTGAAACAAAAAGAGGTCCTACAACTCCAAGGATTTCCCAACCAGCATTGCTGGCTAGCTGAGAATTCCAGGAGTGGTAGGACCCTTTCTCCCCTATCTATATATGCATAGATGCTACGCTAGAGAGTAGTGACTATATGATCTTTCATCTGAGATTTCAGTTGACACTTCTCCTATCAAGTACACTATGATTGCTGGACAACACTGAGTTTGGATGGGAGTAGTCTTGCAAATTACTTTTTGCACCAGGTAAAATAGCAAAAGTATTGAAAACATAATTTGAAAGTACAGTACATTTTATCTTATTGTAGCTTTACTGTGCTTTATTTTTTGTGAGCTGCATCACTAATGTTTTATTATTGGATGTCTTATAAATAGTGCAAACAAATAAATTGGTATCAAATGTTAGGGTTAGGAACTTGCTGAAATGCATTCTCCTACAGAGGCTAGCCAGAAGAATCCTGAATTATGCTGCTTATTTATTCCTTCCCTTTGACTCCAAAGGGCAAGTAAACAAATGGAGGAGAAGAAAGAAAGAGCAGCATCAGTTGGCTGTCTTCTCAGCAAGACAGCAAGCCATGGTGGGAAAGAGCAACAGCACTGAGGAAGGGAGAGAGCCACTGAGAGTCTTCCAAAATGTGTACTCCTTACCCTTAGATCAGCATTACCAGCCAGCATTACCCCAACACAGGCATCTCCTCTAAGGGTGATTGTGAAAGGGTTCCCAGGCTGACAACGCCACCTCCCCAGTTTTTAAAATGTATACATGGATTTGTATACATGCATAGCAATGACTACATATGAAATACATATGACTTTCTAGGAATTATACATATGTTTTAGCAAAGTCAGATCAGATTTCCAAATAAGTACCCATTTAAAAGTGACATCCATGCAGCATACCTTCAAATATTGAAAACATTGTAAGGTTCTTTATTCATTGCTTGTGAGTGTTTATCCTTCCAACTTGTGATGCTGGTCTTTTAGCTGTTCCAAGGGCATGGAGAATGTATTTATGTGGACCATTTATTAGTTTTAATGAAGTACATAAATTTTAAAAAGTGAATGTTAAAGACTATTCAGAATAAAATTCTGCATAAAAGTCTCCTCCCCTACAAAAGCAACTATTGGACTTTTTTAAAACAGAGGTTTAAAAGAAGTTTTAGCAGCATCCAAGTATCAGCAATTTGCTAAATTAGACAATCCCTTTCTAAAGAGATGGTGCAGTGTCCAATGACACAAAACAAGTTTCTGCTGAATAAGACATAGTCTAAGTTTCACAGATGCAACAGGGACACGCCAAAGTGATGATCCACTGACTGGGCATTCTGTGGTGGTGCCCACAACAGTTTCTCAAATTCCCAATTGTGCCCATGGATTCAAAAATCCTGGAAATCCCTGCCTTAAACTACTATGGTCAAGCGCTTGTAATCCTGCACTTTTCCTTCCCTATATAGTGCCTGGAATTTTAAATGTATTGTTAACAATAATATGCTACTAAACCTATATGCTCCAATCCTAGTAAGGTGAGCAAAGCTATTCATCGGATTGCATTTCTCCTTTCAAGATGTCTCCATTCTGAACCACTGACGCTGCTTTTTAAAATGTTTGTTTTGTAAAACATGGTTTGCTATGTGAAGCTGTTTGCTAAAAAAAAAAAAAAAAAAAAAAGGCATCATAAATCCCAGTAGAAATGCTGAGTGAACATCACATCTTAGGCCATTTTATCCGAGTTGTGAACATTGTCTCTGTGTGAATAGCTCTGGTTGCAGCATTGACTGCTCTTATACTGTTTCAAATGATTTAGCTATCAGTTTTTCAATAAACAATATCTATTGATTGATTCTTAAATAATTCATATTGAGTCATACAATACACAACCTCAGTGTGGTTGATGATTAACTAAACTTCCAGGAAGTATTTATTTTTGTATAAAATTTATTATGTGTACAGCAGATTCAATAGCGTCAACCCAGCAATAGCATTCAAGAGTCAAACATCAAACACTGATCATCATCTCTTTGGAGCAACAGCCGTGGAGTGGTAAAGCCTTTGATTCTTAGGAAAATCTGCATCCAGTAAATGGAAATTCAGTTATCCCAAGCATAGGGGTAGGCAATGACTGACAGGCTGCCCTGGCTCAGTTATCACTGTGCTGATGCTGTCTATACAAAAGGTACAGTACTGTGATAACTGAAGGATGGCAGCCATCTTAGCTTCACAGGAATTTGACAAATGGAGATAAAAGACTGTTCTGAAAGCTGGTTATACTTTATTGATGAAAGCAAGGCAAACACTATGAAAGTTGGAAAACTTAACTTTGTAGCTTAATTATTTGGGAAAGATACTGATCACTAGTTAGGCGTATAATAAAATTTTGAAAGAAAGAAAGATGCTCAACTGTTGTAACTTGTTTTTGCTATTTGGGGTTTTTGCCAGTAGTATAGACTAAGCAGTGGAAGTTGATAAATGTGATATTTGGATGGGAAAACTTCCCTTCCAGAAGATGAAAATCATACACCCTAAACTACTAGTAGTCAATTTTTCAACATTAGAACACATCATTGCCACAGTTGGAAAAGCAAAATCTGCCAAAATGTCTTAATTTTGACAACATTCAGAGGAGGGCAACAAAGATGATCAGGGGAGTGGAAATAAAACCCTGAGAAGAGAGATTGAAAGAACTGGGCATGTTTAGCCTTGACAAGAGAAGAGTTGGGGGCGGGGTCATGATATTACTCTAGAAGTACTTGAAAGGCTGTCACAAATAGGAAGGGCAGGATCTCTTCTTGATCATCCCAGGGTGCAGGACACAGAATAATGGGGTCAAGTTACGAGAAGCTAGATTCCAGCTAGATATCAGGAAAAACTTCCTGACTGTAGGAGCAGTATGACAATGGAACCAATGACCTAGGGAGCCTGTAGACTCTCCCACATTGGAGGGATTCAAGATGCAACTGGAGAGCCATGAGAGGATGGTTTCAGTTGGAGTCCTCACTGAGCAGGGGGTTGGACCTGACGGCCCTTTGGCCTCTTCCACTCTATTTTATTATTTATTGTTAAATAGATAAAGACCCTGGTGCTGAAAGGAGGCAATTCCTTTCTAAGTCTCTGCTTCTGTGGTGGCTCTTTTACACATTTGAAGTTCAGTCATTTAAAATTAATGTGTCCTTTATTTAAGGTGGAAACAAAATGGTGTGATTCCT